TGTGGTTTGGAGAGCACCATAAACGTTCCATTCTTGATTTAATTGGGACTTTGCGACATACCGTTCATTTGCAATAAGCCAGGATGTTCTAGGATTCTAGCCAACTGTTGCATCTGATTGTGGTCACCATAACTAAACCAAGTTTGGATGAAGAACCAGGCAGACTGCCTTTCCTGCAACTTCCCATAGCCTCATTCTTATCTTCCTGGTCTCTGAAACATTGGTAGATCCAAAACCAAAAGTTATTTTCTATGACTTTTGCCATTTTTCACATCTCCTTTTGCCAGGATTCTGATGCAACGCTCTGGATTCTGTGCTTGAATATTCTGAGAAGCCAATTTCCCTATTTTTTGCCATTCACTGCAGGAAGTTGTTATATTTAGATTTACAATAAAAACCGAACCTCTTCAGGAGCCAAATTGCCCAGATATTTTGAGATTGTTCATGCTACAGATTTCAATAGATATATATTTGTTCCCCCACCCACCCTTGGGTTCCTTCTACTTCCCTGGAACTTGAACTGTTAAGCTATGGAGGAAGGAGAGGTAGACTCCCATAGTGAGCTAAGCCAGAAGTCAACAGTGGACAGTGAGGTTTAAGCTTGTGTTGAACCTTAACCCTTCTGGGGCTTGATGGCATGAAGATATGGAGCCAACAATGGAAAAGGCGGGGTTGGAGGAGTGGGAGGTGAAGGAAGAAGTAAGAAATGGGACACTGAGGTTCAAGGCTGTCCAACAATGCTACAATAATACAAGTTCAGCAGCAGTGGGGCTGGTGATCCCACACATGGAAACACTATAGGTCGATCCCTTTTCTGTAGTCCTGAAGACCCCAGATTATACAATGCCACATGACAGCCTTTCTCAAACACATGGATGTTATTCATCAGAACAGCCTCCTCCTTTTCTGTCGTCAAGAAACTCTCTTCTCTTGTGCTGTGTCAAAATTGGGTCATCTTTGATACATCCACGTACTCCGCATGTGTTCCTGATGCCATTTCTGAATAATTTGTCAATGTTGTCTTGTTGCTTCCCTTATCCAGCCCCTGCTTCTCTCTTTGTAGCTGGGGTTTCCATGCAAACAACTTGTACAACATGGGAAGTTCAACAAGCCCTTAGTTACTTCTCAAATATGTCCCTGGTTCTGGACACTCATTCATTCATTCATTCATTCATTCATTCATTCATTCATTCATTCATTCATTCATTCA